TTGTTGAAACCCTTTGATCATGTTATATTCCTTGAATTCTGATAGTCATATGCCTTGACATTAAACTTCTAGTGATGTCTACTTTTAGCTTTGATCACGCTACTTATATAAGATTTCTTATTGTATTCATATGCTTATTTCAATGACACATATTCCGAGTGTGCGTCCTTTAATTCGGTGTCATGAAGCAAAACAAATAGGATCAGTAATTTTTTGCTCCCATTGTGATGAGACTAAATGTTTGATCGCAATAACTCAAGAGAGAGAGCTACCACAATGGATTTATGTGATCTAGAATCTTCTTGTAATTTTTTGCTTCCGATATTAATTAATTAATTTGACTAAATGGTCCAACATAATGCGTCATCAGGACAAGATTCCCTTGATTATTTTCTCCTTTTTTTGGTCCAATGTTATGTCAAGGAACATTAGTTTATCACTTCAGTACCACTAGCTAATAATTGATAAATAATAATAATAATAATAATAATAAATTTTCTAACATACAGAAAGGGTCGAATTAATGGTCCCTAAGAATATTACAATATCTTGAAAATTAATTCATAGAAGATACGGAAATAGGACTCACATGCACCAAATCAATAATACACATCTAGCTACCAAGCTATAATGGTATTAAATTCTGATAGATGAAAAAAATTGAACCAACCATCATCATTTATTTGCAAACACAGAAAATGTTTGAAATTTGATATGAATTTATTCTGTTTGGGAAAAAAAATGAACCAACTATGATAAAGAAATTGTCCCATTAAATACACAAATGACCCATAATTCTAAATAAAGAAGGAGCTCAAGTACATGAAGGTGAAACAATTAATACACAAACAACTTCTTATTCCATTACTTTTCTGCAAACAAAGAGAGAAGAAATGGGTTCTGAATCCTCTCTTAGACTTCCAGTCATATACTTTACCAAGCCAAACCTGAAACCATGTTCTCCTGAGTGGGATTCAGTGAAATCCCAAGTCACAAAAGCAGTGGAAGAATACGGTTGTTTTGAGGCTTTGTTTGACAAAGTTCCTGGAGCTTCGGAAAAGCATTTTTAAGGCAATGGAAGAGCTTTTAGACCTGCCCCTCTAGACCAAACTTCGAAACCTTTCCATGGCTACGTTGGGCAATACCCTCAAGTGCCTCTATATGAAAGCATGGGCATTGATGATGCAAACATCGCTGAGAATGTCAAAAACATGACTAATATTTTCTGGTCAGAAGGAAACGAAAATTTCAGGTGCATAGCTTCATTGTTTCTGTTTACTTTAAAAAGAGAATTGACGAAACACCACCCTCCACTGTCAAGATATTGCTTATTATTTCTGTATAATTAACTACTCTTGATTCATTTCTAATCATGAAGTCATGGGTTTGAATCAAGAGGGATGCACTATGAGCCTTACTATTTAAGGTGGATAAGAGATCAAAGGACAATAACTTGATAGTTGCTGGGGTGTTTCAATTGACCTCTTACTTTAATTCTTGCATCATAACTATGCAGTATGTTTCAGAGCAAGTATCACAATTAGATCAAACAATTAGGAGGAGGATTTTGGAGAGTTATAATCTGGAGAAGTACATGGAAGAACACATCGACTCAACGAATTACCTTTTTCGAGTCATGAAATATGAAGGACCTCAAACTACGGAGACACAGCTTGGGCTACCTACTCACTCAGATGTGGACATGGCGACTATACTGTATCAAAATCAAGTTGATGGGTTAGAAGTGCGGACCAAAAATGGTGAATGGATCCAATTGAAACCCTCTCCGGCCTCTTTCACTGTGAGAATTGGAGACTCTACGTAAGCTGCTTCGAATCTTTATTTTTCAATTTACTTAATTATCCGCAAACTTGAATTTGTTGCTTTCAGGCATGGACAAACGGGCAATTGTACGCTCCACATCATCGAGTGATGATGACAGGAAACCAGGTGAGGTATTCTGCAGGGTTGTTTTCAATGCCCAAGAAGCGGCCAGAAACTTTGAGCTGCTTCAATCTAATGTTATGTTTCCTTAACATTAGGGGTTTTGTAACACAGTTCCGTTGACTCAATTAGTGTTACATAATTTTAGTTGCCAGGCCAAGATGACCGCCTACGGTAGCGGACAAGCTACTTTCGGTGAGGCCCAGATGGCGGCATGTTGAGCGGACCGCAATTGGTGGTAATTCCATTTCTCAGGTTTTTTTTTTAATCTAATTTGAGGTTTTTTGTTGTTTTTATCGTGGGTTTTATGATTATTTAGAATCTATGAATTCATGATTATTTGATAATAAATAGCAGGGTAAAATTGTTTTATTGGTAAAAAAGAATGATATTATTAATTTTTTTTTTCTTTTTTTTTTTTTTTTACCAGTGTTTGAACCAACTTATATATATCTCAACTAATCTTTTGAGGTCCTGAAGTAAATGACCAGTAAGTCTCCTTAGTGGTCACCTCTATTAGTGCCTGAGAGACTTGAACTCAAAAACTCATATTGGACCTCTTTACTCTTTTACTATCAGCCACCCAATGGTGGTTAAAATGATTAATTAATTCAGAAAGTGATAAAGAATGATATTATATCAGAGATGTATGGACTCTAACATAAAGGTGTTCAAAACTAGTTAACCGAACCAGTTAACCGATTTTGTGAATCGAACCGGTTAAGGGAAAAATCAGCTTTTCGGTTAACCAAAAAACTGGTTAACCGGTCTTGAACCGATTTTAATTTTATATTTTATATATTTTTTAATTTAATATTTTTGTAATAAACCAGTTTTTTTATTTAATATTTTTTATAATAAACCGGTTTTGGTTAACTGTTTCTCATATTCTCCCAAACCGGTAACCAAACCAAAAATTTGGTTTTTTAATTTCTTTTAACTGAAACCAAACTGGTTTTTCAAATAATTGAAAATTCGGCTTGGTTATCAATTCGGTTCGGTTTTTGCATTTTTTTAAACACCTCTACTCTAACATTAATATTGTGAGAAAATCTAAAATACAAGTTAGGTAGTACCACAAGTCACTTACATACTGTCACCAATTAGTTTTATTTAAAAATCAAATAATACATCTGTTATATTTATTACATTATTATTCTAATTTTATCGAGATATATCACGGTTTGCTACAACCAACCGCAAATCACCTCCATCATGGCTACCGCCACCGTCACCCTACTTTCCGAGTTACCCAATTTTTATTTTTATTTTAAAAAATGCAATCAATTAAATCTGGATCCATTTTTCCATTTTACTATCCTCTTATTTTCAAATTTAATTTCTCACTTCAAACTAATTTTTTATCTTTTTTGGGAATACCTGAAGAAATCAACTGAAACATTTTTTAAAAAAACGGAGACATAAACATGACTAAATCAGAAAAACATTAAAGTTGTTTTGTTGATATTTTTCTGCTGTGATTTTAAGAATTGCTAATTCTGTAATCGTATGATGTTTTATCGCTCATTGTGTCTGTTGTTGATTAGGAGATTTGTTCATCATGTGCGATAATTTGGCCACTAAGAGAGGGGTTGTTATTCCGCTCACATGACTGTCGGCGAGCAGTCAAGCCTGCTGCAGCTGCTGTTATGATTTCTTCAGCCAAGCCTGCTGCTATGATTTCTTTCCGGTGCACCACCAACCGCCAGTGGGCTGAATGTCGCTTCCCTGCCGCGCACCAACTGCTCCCTTCATTTTTCTTTGGTTGGAAATCAAGAGAACTTAGAACCACTGTGCCATTTCTAATGAATCTCACATCGGAAACATATTGGGAAGGTCTTTGACTTATAAATGAGAGAATACCTCCACCTAATAGGTTAGCTTTTTAGGTGTAAAACTCTCAGCATGTGACAATTGATATTAGAGTGGACCTCGTCCGTCTTTCGATGTCCCACCAAACCCTCATGCACGGACATCCACACGAGAGTGAGGTGGACAAATAAGCATGTGACTTTCCTTAAGGCCCAAACCCAAGAATTAAATAGGTTTTACAAGTGATTGTGAGTCCACATGAGAGTGAGATAAATAGAGTAGGCAAAGGCCCCCACCTGTAACGAGGGTATCACAAGATTGGTTGGGAGAGAATGTAACGAATCCCACATTAGAAACATATTGAGGAGATCTTAGGCTTATAAAAGGGAGGGAGTCTCTCCACCAAATAGCTTAGCCTTTTGGGTGTGAAACTTCCAACCCATGACACATTACTTTAATCTTAAGCTTTATTTCCGTGTAGTCCTCCATTTCATGATTTAATTTAAATTGATCCTTATTTTATTTATTCATTTTCAAATAAAACTTACAAGTGTCAATTAATGAATGGTTGGTGGCCCCAATTCAGCATTCTAAGGATATCTCCCTTGTTGTGTAGATTTTCTCTGATATTGTATGTTTCTAAAATCAATGGTGAGAATTTTTCATTTATGATAGTTAGGAGCGACAATATATACTTTGACCTCAATATGTATATCTAAGTATTTTAAGAATATTGTTATATAGAAATTTGTATATATCCCAACTTTCTACTGTCTCTTTTCTTTTTTCTTCTTTCTTTTTTTATAACTAGGATGTCCAGGCTAGTTTGGACATACCTCAATTAGTTCCTAAGGTCCATTAAATATTTTACAAGTCTAATAGATCAGATAAGTCATAAATGTGGTAGATGATCACTTTGTAGAACTCAAACACAAAACCTCTGGATAACTTACCTAGATAGCTAAAATCTTGTCTTCCGACAATAACGATAGTAGTTAATTTTATAATGATTATCATAACACTTGAAGTTTGTAAGAAAAAATTGTACAAAAATTTAGAAACTCAATATCCTTATACAAGATCACCTTCTTGAATGCAAAGTCAGATTCTTTTAACTTTTTTTATCTCTCTCAGCTCTTTTTCTCTACATCTCTATAAATATAATCCACAAACCTTCATGTCTCTCATCTCATTTTCCCTTAACCTTATCCTCTAATTCTACTTTGCCATCCGAGATTTTCATCATGGTTTCAAATCCTGAAACTCCAACTCCGCCTTCAAAACTCTCTGATGCATTGAAAAGCCACTCTTTCCACCTCCACCATGAATATCTTGACTTGACCTCACTCAAGGAATTACCCGATTCCTATGATTGGACTGATGAGCTAAACATGATTCCTGCCGCCACCGGTGGCGGCAACTCTGCCATCTCCGAAGCCATGCCGGTTATCGATTTCAATGACCCTGATGCCCTTCAACTCATTGGCCATGCATGCAAAACTTGGGGGGCTTTTCAAGTCGTAAATCATGGCATCCCCTCTTCCCTTCTTGATCAAACTGAGTGTACGAGTAGAGACCTTTTCTCTTTACCAATTGAACAAAAGCTGAAAGCTTCTCGTTCACCTGATGCCATTTCGGGTTACGGATTGATTAGAAGTAATTCATTTTTCTCTAAGATTATGTGGTCTGAAGGGTTCACTGTCCTTGGATCTCCACTTGATCATTTTCGTCAACTTTGGCCCCAAGATTATACCAAACACTGGTAAATTAATTAATCAAATACGTTCATCATCTTTCTTGTGTTATCTTATTCTATTTTCTTCTGTATTTCATCATGCTTGCTATCAAGTAGTTTATCATCTCATTAATATGAAAAAATATTATTGAAGTTTTTTATTTAATTTATATAATACAATAAATTATTTTTATTTTTAAGATAGTACTGTAATTTAAAAATAAATTGTAGATTTTATAAAATAAAATGTGTAATGCATATTTCTTTTTTATTTTTCTATTTATATTATTTTCATATTTTTAAACTAGCCTATATAATTTTTTTGTCTTTTTTTTTTTTTTTTAATAATATCTATGGCACTGAAAGGATATTTATGAAGAAAAAAATTAATAGAAGTGGGTAGAATTAGAAAATAAATTTTAGTACTAACAAAATTTTCAACTATACATAAAAAAATTAAAATAAAATAAAAAAGAAACCAATGGTAGCTACTGTTACTTTCTCTTAAATTCATGAATATAATAGCATTTGTTTCTGTTTTCTCAGTGAAGTCATTGAAGAATACGAGAAAAAGATGAAAAGGTTAGCAGAAAAACTAATGTGGCTTATGCTAGGTTCACTGGGCATAACCAAGGAAGACATTGATTGGGCTAACCTGAATAGTTATATCCCGGATGCTTCCTCAGCATCACAAATGAATCATTATCCGGCTTGTCCGGATCCAGACCGAGCCATGGGTATGGCTGCTCATACCGACTCCAGCTTCCTCACTATTGTCTATCAGAACAACGTCACTGGATTGCAAGTCTTGAAAGAAGGAACCGGGTGGGTCACTGTCCCGGTGATTCCGGGTGGGCTTGTGGTTAATATAGGGGATCTGCTTCACATATTATCAAACGGGTTGTACCCAAGTGTGCTCCACCGAGCAGTGGTGAATCGGTCCAAAGCTAGGTTTTCTGTTGCCTATTTTTATGGGCCACCAGCCACAGTCCAAGTCTCACCGTTTCCGAAGCTAATTGGGCCAGGTCATCCTTCTCTCTATCGGCCCATTACTTGGAGTGAATTCCTTGGCATCAAAGCTAAATGTTTCAATGAAGCACTATCATTAATCAAAGTTACAGAGACTCCTCCAATTGAATGTGTTGATGCAAATGATGATAGTAATAATGTAGAAGTTGCTTAGTTAGGTACAATGTTCAGGATGGGATCCTCATTTAGGTATATTTATGTTGTACGTATATCAAAAAACTATCGGGTTAAGTTTTCATTTTTAGACTTGAAAATCAATAGATAATACAATAATGTTATAAATACAATATTGGGATCTCAACTTTATATTTTATTCATGTGACAGTTGGTTTAAAAACATCTCTTTGATTAAAAATAATGAGATAAGTGACTATAGATGCAAAAAATCTACCATCATGAAAATAGGGTCTGATCCCGTGAGGTTGAGGTCACTAACAATCTGCTAGACCTGCACACATGAAAGGGCAAGCGTGAAGCTTCCAAAAAACACCGGGGTAGTGTTTGCCGTAGGCACTCCGATACTTAAGTCAGCAAGGCTGAAAGAGATTATTTGATAAGAATTAAGGAGATGAAGAATTACCAAGAGTCTTGTTGGAAGTTAGGACTACGGCGAAGGCATCGGGTTCTTAAGAGCAAGAACTTAGGAGCAAATAGATGGTTTTAAGTAGTGTAGATTGACTATGAGATTGCATGTCTAATAAGAGGGCAAACCTCTGTTTTTATAGTGAACACAAGGGGTTGGAATCCTAGTAGGACATTGAGTCCTCTTTTTTGGGAGATAATCCCTATCAAGAAAGAAATATGATTTCTTGATCTTATCAGATTAAGTTTAATAGTTTAAATAAGATTTGGAATCTTAGTAGGACACTAAGTCCTATTTTGGGAGATAATCCCTATCATGAAATAGATAAGATTGCTTGACCTTATCAGATCAAGTTTGATAGTTTGAATATGATTTGAAATCTTAGTAGAAGAGGAAATAAAATGGACTTCTGATTTCCTATTTATAAACTGTTGTAGGCTAATAGGCTGAAACCCAGTTTAGCTTAACTTATAGGATAGCCCAACTCTTAGAGTGGGTAGTTCACAAGGTGATTTTAAGCGTAGACCCAATCGGGATTAGATTGAGGCCTTGGGCCATGACATGTTTATTTTGTTATTGTGTCTCGTCAAGCCGAAGACGATTTTTGGCCCTAACAGTTAGCCCCCCACTCTCTAAGTTAAAGAGTATTTAGCTTAAAGAGTAGATTTAATCGAATGAGTACAGACTGAGCGGATTAGTGATAGCAGCTCGTTAGGTCTGATGGATCGTTGTGTGGATTGGGTCGATGACTTGTCGATTTAAGGTGCAAGTCCTTCAATCGGTTTGAGCCGATTGAATGTGTAAATCTATAAATCGGTTTGGGCCGATCGAAGGTGTCTACTTATGAATCGGTATGGGCCGATCGAAGATGTAAACTTATGAATTAGTTTGGGTCGATCGAAGGTGTAAGCTTATGAATCGGTTTAGGCCGATCGAAGGTGTAAACTCATGAATCGGTCTAAACCGATCAAAAGTGTAAACTCATGAATCGACCTAGGCCGATCGAAGGTGTAAACTCATGAATCGGCCTGAGTTGATCGAAGGTGTAAACTCATGAATCGACCTAAGCTGATCGAAGGTGTAAACTCATGAATCGGTCGGAGCGGATCAAAGGTGTAAACTCATGAATCGGTCTAGGCCAATCGAAGGTGTAAACTCATGAATCGGTCTGAGCCGATCGAAGGTGTTGGGCCGATTGAAGGTGTAAACTCATGAATCGATCTGAGCCAATCGAAGGTGTAAACTTATGAATCGGTCTGAGCCGATCGAAGGTGTAAACTCATAAATCGGTTTAAGCCGATCGAAGGTGTAAACTTATGAATCGGTCTGAGTCGATCGAAGATGTAAACTCATGAATCAGTCTAGGCTGATCGAAGGTGTAAACTTATGAATCGGTCTCAGCTGATCAAAGGTGTAAACTCATGAATCGGTCTGTGCCGATCGAAGGTGTATGCCAAGTGAAGCTTGTATGGAGATTATGGTTGAGTTGGCGTGACCGACTTGTAATTGAAACCTTTGAGGGATATGTGGCCCAGTCGGCATGACCGACTTTGTAGTTGAAAATATTTGATTGAAGCTGGAGCAGTGACATGCATGGCATGCATGTTTTAAGCAAAGAGCCGAATGGAAAGTCAATATGCATGATGTGCATGTGTTATGGACTAAATGAAGAGTAAGCTAAAAGGAAAAATGGGCTGCATGTATTTAAGTAATGGGACGAATAGAGAAAGATTTAACCAAATAGAGTGGTAGTTAAAAGGAGATAATGACACATACCTTTCCCCTTCAAGTGCTACCACCCATGCTTGCTGGACCGGGTGGAGAGAGAGGTGTTACTTTCTATGTCGGAGCTGAAACAGTTGAAGTTGAGTGGGCACGTGATTCACTTTTGGGATAAACAGAATGGGCACGTTGATATTGTATATGCAGACCCAAATATCATTGAGTGGACTACTCGTGTTGTTTAGTGGTGCCGAGTTGTAGTGGGGAGTGGAAAGTTTGCAAACAGCAGGGAGCGTGAGGGCTTTTGTGACAGGTGTGCTGGAGATTATGATGTGAAGGTGGTTTGAGTTGATATGTATTGGTTGGGAAGGGGCGATGGTTCGAGTTTGGAGTTTTGGAATACGATGGGGTAAGGAGATTAGGCAAGAGTGGGGTGGCGTCACTTAAGCAAGTTTTGTTTCGGGGGTTTCTTTTCGTGTTTAGTAGATGACTTTGGGTGTTTTGAGAGGATTACTACCATGTTTTTAGGATTTAACTGTGTGATTAGAGAAGTTGTTAGGGCAATTTTAGGAGAACAGGTGGACGAGTTTTGGGTTTCAAAGTGGTGGCAAATCTCCGCGAAGTTGAATTGGGACTGGATCAAGGTTGGTCAAGTTTTAGTTACCTTCTAATGGAGCGAGAGGTCCTGGAGATACTGGTGTATTGCGGCATCTTCTTGAATGAACAAATTGACTAGTTTTATGGCGGGTAATGCATTGCAAAGCTTTGATGACGGTGGCGGACCACCTGGTGGTTTGATGATTGAAGTGAAAAGGCGCATGTAGAGAGGTTAGAGATAGAAGCTATTGCCTTATCTGAACAGAGGATTAGAGAAGAGAGATTGTTGAAGCAAAGTCAATGAATCAAGTGGTTTAGGAACACCACTTTAAACTCTGACACACTATTATTCTATTATTAATTTAGAACAATAATATGAAGCTCTTATTAATTTAGAACAATAATATGAGCTTCAAGGTCTTATACTACCTGCTGAATGGATATAATATGAAATAAATTACGATATGCCGAATAGATATAATATAGCATGTGAATAGATAAAACAAACGAAGAATAACAAAGAAAAAAAAATTCTTATCGTGATGGGATTTTTCGATTAACATTGTCAATCAAAAGGAGTTTTGTGTCTCCTCCCATGTTGTAAGTCATCGTTGGCAGATGATTGTCAGGCCCCACAATGGGTGCCAAACTGTAGATGTAAAAAATCTACCGTCATGAAAATAGCATCTGATCCCATGAGGTTGAGGCCACAAACAATCCGCTATACCTAAACACATGAAAGGGCAAACGTGAAGCTTCTGAAAACACCAAAGTGGTGTTTATCGTAGGCACTCCGACGCTCAAGTTAGCAAGGCTGAAAGAGATTATTTGATAAGAATTAAGGAGATAAAGAATTACCAGGAGTCTTATCGGAAGCTAAGACTACGACGGAGACGTCGGGTTTTTGGGAGCAAGAACTTTAGGAGCAAATAGATGGTTTTGAGTAGTGTAGATTGACTATGGGAGATTGCATGCCTAATGAAAGGGCAAACCTCTGTTTTTATAGTGAACTCAAGGGGTTGGAATCTTAGTAGGACATTGAGTCCTCTTTTTTGGGAGATAATCCCTATCAAGAAAGAAATGTGATTTTTTGACCTTATCAGATTAAGTTTAATAGTTTAAATAAGATTTAGAATCTTAGTAGGACACTAAGTCCTATTTTGGGAGATAATCCCAATCATGAAAGAGATATAATTTCTTGACCTTATCAGATTAAGTTTAATAGTTTAAATAAGATTTGGAATCGTAGTAGGACACTAAGTCCTATTTTGGGAGATAATCTCTATCATGAAATAGATATGATTTATTGACCTTATCAGATCAAGTTTGATAGTTTGAGTATGATTTGGAATCTTAGTAGAAGAGGAAATAGAATGGGATTCTGATTTCCTATTTATAGATTGTTGCAGGCTAATGGGCTGAAACCCAATTTAGCTTAACTTATAGGATAGCCCAACTCATAGAGTGGGTAGTTCACAAAGTGATTTTAAGCGTAGGCCCAATCGAGATTGGATTGAAGCCTTGGGCCGTGACATGTTTATTTCGTTATTGGGCCTCATCAAGCCTAAAATGATTTGTTGCCCTAACAGTGACTTATCAAGTTAATCGCAACATAGAATATGATACAAAATTAGGAACTCATTTTTATATGTGTAGTCCTAAGTAATAATATCAAATATCATATTTAAATTTGTTTTTATTTTATGAATGTTATTTTATAACATACAGTAAAACCTCTCTATAGTCATAATAGTGGGATTAATTAATTTTATTACTATGAAGAGATTATAACTTAATAGAGGTGTGGTAACAAAAATTTCTTTATAATTCATGTTTTAGTAGTACAGTATTAGGATTTCAATTGATGTCTTAATACTATTAGAATTTCAATTCAACGCTTCAATTGCCTATTTTTAAAAAGGATAGAAGATTGTGTCTTGAAATCGGCAAAGATAAGTGTTTTTAATAGAATTATAAATACAGTTGCTGCATGATTAAATTGATGTAAAGTCACAAACTATTGTCAATTGTTTTAATTATTACAAAATTATGCAGCAAATTGATGTGAAACCACATAATATTGTCAATTGTTTTAATCATTACAAAATGCAGCAAATTGATATGAAGCCACATACTATGGTCAATTGTTTTAATCATTATAAAATTAGGATCCCTGGTGTTGATGAATTGCAAGTTACAAATGAAGTGGATAAAGAGAATCAAAGAGTCATTGTAGAATTGAGTAATCAGATTCAACAACTTCATTACACTAATTGAATGGATATTATTAATGTCTTTCTCAATTATCCAAATGAGCAATAAATCATATATGTTTTAACTAAAGAATAAATCATTGTTACAATTAGACAAGAAAATAAAAAAAATAATCATGAGGATAATAGTATGGAAATATAAAAATTTTGTGCCAAGAAGCTCTAAACATACTTGAAAAGCTAGAAATATTTGGTTTCAACAAGAAGATGTTCATGTTAGCGAGTAATCTACCCTCAAATTAAAAGATGTGGTAACAACTCTGAAGTATAAATCATTATCTCAAACAACTTTAGATAAATATTTTATTTCATCTTAAACCTTTAATGTAACATAACATATTTTTTTTGCAATATACAAACAAATATTACTATGTAGAGGCAACTTTTCTTAAGACGAGAATTAGAAAAATTATAACTTATTATAATATAGAGTTTATTCTTATTTATAACTATCCCAAATTAGGAATATAATTTTTTATGAATATATAGAGTTTATTCATATATAGAGTATCACTATAGAGAGGTTTTACTGTAATTGTTAATCAACACAAATTCATAACAAAATTAAAATAAACAAGAATCCCTAAGAATTTGTTTCATCATCTTATTACTTATGAAGTATTGATATATCATTTTACACATCACCTGATGTATCTATGACCATAATCCAGTACCTTTTTTTTTTTTTTTTTATGACTGAGGGTGTTCGGTGTTTGAACCAGCTTGCGCACACCTCAATTAATCTCCCTACTATGCACATGGTTATCCACCTTTGTATCTATGTCTTTTAAGAACAATACTACATACAAGTTTGTATATATAAAAAATTTTAAGTGTCTCGGGGTACTTCATCAATTATATCATAATCTAGTACTTTTTTTAATGACTGAGGGTGTTCGGGCTATCTTGCGCGTACCTCAACTAGTCTCCTGAGATCTTGAAACTACTGTTCAGATAAAAGCTTTAGTGGCCACCCTTAATAGGGGCTATGGAGACTCAAACTCAAGAGACCATGTAAAATTAGATCCTCATTTGCTCTTTTACCATCAAGTCACCGAGTGGTGGTTCATAATTTAGTACTTTTATTTTTAAATTTTTGTCTCTCATCAATTTTTTCAATTAATTTAATTAGAAATTATTTAAATTGAATATATATGTTGCGTGTATAAAATTGTTTATAGTGTTATTAGTGCAGTATTTACACCATTAAATTAAGCATAAACTATCTCTTGTATATATGCCAACTTTGTATTATACTTTAAGCTATTATAAGATATTAGCTCGATAGATAATGGCTTCACTTAGCAGTTATTACACAAATTAAATCATAAATAATTTATATAGTGTTACTAAATCAAAGTAATTATCAGACACTTTTTAATAAGACTTTGTTAATCTTCCAAATAATTTATTTTTACTTATTGTTTCATACAAGATCACACATTATTAAATGCTAAATCTGATTCATTTTCTTCATAAGATCACGTTCTTAAATACTAAATCTGATTAATTTTGTTTATAATTCTCTGTTGAGAGTAGCACAGCAAAAACCAGAGTGGGAAGAAAATGGAAACAATGGAAAGCTGAAAGTGGAATGATTCTAAATTGTATTCATTTCTGTGTGTTTTGTATACAGTGGGTATTGCTTTTTATAGATTACAAACAGAGGAATAATTACAGCTGCTAAATGCATAACAGAATGGCCTCAACAGAATCATGTGACTGCTGTATTTTTATCAGGCTATTGTACGTCCAATTGCATCCTCTAATCTCAACATTCTCTTTCTCTCATCATCTCGATCTATATATATAGTCTTCAAATCATCATCTCTCTCATCTCATTTTCCCTAAAGCTTAGGTTCTATTTGTCATCCTAAAATTTTCATTATGCCTTCGATTCCTGAAATTTCAACTGTGCCTCCAAAACTCTCCGATGCTTTTCGAAGCCACCCTGTCCACCTCCGCCATGAATGTCCTGACTTGACTTCACTCAAAGAATTACCAGACTCGTACGATTGGACTGATCAGCACTACGTGATCCCTGCCACCAACGGTGACTCTGCCATCTCCGAGTCCATTCCGGTTATCGATCTCAATGACCCTAATGCTCTACAACTCATCGGCCATGCATGCAAAACGTGGGGAGCTTTTCAAGTCATAAATCATGGCATCCCCACTTCCCTTCTTGATCAAGCTGAGTGTACAACTAGACATCTTTTCTCTTTACCTGTTGAACAAAAGCTCAAAGCTTCTCGTTCGCCTGATGCTCTTACAGGCTATGGCTTGTCAAGAAGTAATTCATTTTTCTCTAAGATTATGTGGTCTGAAGTATTCACCATCATTGGATCACCACTCGATCATTTTCGTCACCTTTGGCCCGAAGATTACACCAAACACTGGTAATTAATAAAAAATAAATAATGTCCATGATCATGCATACATGCACACGTTAGGTTTGCTGTTTGAATTCATTGATATATAATAGCATCTTTCTTTGTACGGAGGGGGAGGAAGGGACAAAAAGGGGCAATTGCCCCTCTTGGTTTCCAAAATCTTATCAAAAAGTACTAGAAAACTAGGCCTGGTTCTTTAAAAAAATTAAAATTTCAAACAAATTCTCATTATTTAAGTTCTTAATTTCTCCTAAAATTAAGTTCTCATCCTTTCTTTTATATGGACAAAAAATTTAGCAGAAAAACTAATGTTTCTTTATGATTTTTTAGTAAGGTCATGGAAGAATATGAAAAGGAGATGAAAAAGTCAGCAGAAAAACTAATGTGGCTGATGCTGGGTTCATTGAACATTACAATGGAAGACATTGAATGGGCTGACCCGAAAGGCAATATCCCAGACGAGTTTGCAGTCTTACATATGAATTATTACCCGGCTTGTCCGAACCCGGACCGGGCCATGGGTATGGCCGCCCATTCAGATTCCACCATTCTTACTATTCTTCACCAGAACAACACTGCCGGATTGCAGGTCCTAAAAAAAGGAACCGGGTGGGTCGCTGTACCCACAAATCCAGGTGGGCTTGTGGTTATTGTAGGGGACTTGCTTCAGATATTATCCAATGGGTCGTATATAAGTGCACTCCACCGGGCTGTGGTGAACCGGGACAAGCCCAGGTTTTCTCTTCCGTACTTTTATGGGCCACCTGCCCGGGCCCAAGTCTCACCCTTGCCCAAGCTTGTAGGCCCAAGTGATCCTCCTTTGTACCGGCCCATTACTTGGAGTGAATTCCTTGGAATCAAAGCCAAGCATTTCAACAACGCATTGTCTTCTATCAGAATTTGTACTTCTCCTCCAAACGAAGTGGTTGCTGCGAATGGTGATAATAATACTAATAGTGCAGAAGTGGCTTGATTTTATGTTTCAACTGTGCAGAAAAATGTTGTGTTAAGTTTTCATTTTGAGAGTCAAAATATGTATTTCTGTATAAGAAATAACATCCAATCGTGACGATCTTAGTTTCTTTCTTTTCTTTTGTTGAGCCTGTGTGCTCTTTTAGACATATGTATCTTTTCTAAGCCTTGGATTTGAGCCTGCATGCTCCTTTTGGGCGTCTATGTCTGGTTGCTTTTGTTTTCGAGTCTTTGTGCTCCTTCGAGCAGATGTGCCTTGTTTGAGCATATGTGCTCTTGTGTTTGGGTCTTTATGCCTATGTTGTCTTTGTTGCGTCTTCTAGCCTTTAGACCGATTATGTTACTCTGTAACCTTTTTCTTTTTGGAATAATATACTTATTTACCAAAATATATATATCGAATCATATTTAAACTGTCCCATTATAAGTTTTCTTTTTATTTTCAGAATTTGACTTTGTGATTCTGCTTAAGCTTTGGCCCAATGAGCTAGTAAAAAAGTTGAGCTATCATTTTACATTGTGTATTAGTATGAATTCTGTAACAATAACATCGTACGAATTCTTTAACATTACTGGAAATTTTCCTATACGGTAGATGCATTTGCAATGTGAACAGGGACGGGGCCAAGATTTGTATCATTAGTGATAAATTTAAAGTCCATTAAGGAATTTCTTGAATAGAACTCTATTAATGATGGAATTAAAATCAACAATTTATGTGTATTAAAAATATCGGGGTGGCCAATTTACTACCTTCATAATAATGTTGATATTAGGAACAAGTAACGAAAGTGGGTATATCTAATTTTTTAGTATCAACTTAAAAACCTATTAAATATCATGTTCATATGCATAAGCTGTCATTTTTTTCCTTGTCATATTCCAGTTTTAGCACAAAGGCTAAATGACATTTTATGACTCAAAGTTTGACGAGTGTACATTTTCCCACCCATAAACTTTGATAAAAACATTTTCCTACCCTTCATCAATCTTCATCAATGGAATTTGTTCTCTAATAGGGCCAAAAATAAAGTCAGTTATTAAAACAAAAAATTTGAAAAATTTGAAAAAAATGAAAAAAAAAAAAAAAAACAGTTGGCCAAAATCGCACCAAGCCGGATGCAATTCAAGCTAAATCAAACCTAGCCAGGTGTGACTCAGGCCGAATCACACCATACCAATTGCAATTCAAGCTGAATAGCACATGGCTGGGTGTGAATCAATCGGAATCGCCCCTAGCTAGGTGCTATTCTTGCCAACTGATTTTTTTTCAGTTTTTTTAAGTTATTTTTCAAATTTTCATAATTGTTTTTCGGATTTTTTCTTCTTTTTCACAATTTTCTAGGTTTTTTTTTTAGAAATTATTTTTTTATAAAATATATACAATTTTAATATTTTGTATTTTTATAAATATTTAATTGACAGATATTATTATAATATTTAAAAAAATATATACAATTTTAAATTTTTTTAGAAACACACTTACTTAAAAAGTAAAACCTCTATTGTAATTATAGAAATTGAAGATAGAGGGTTTCAATGGCTAATTCCCAAGTTGGTGAAGGTAATTGTTATATCATATATGTTTGTAATTTAAGGGGTGAAAGTAACATTAAACCTATAATATATATTATGCGAACTGACGAGAATGCAACGTCTGAATTTTAACAATGGGTGAAAAAATATTTTTTTCCAAAGTTTATGGGTGGACAAATATATATTTGTCAAACTTTGGGTGGGAAAATGTCATTCAACCTAGTACAAAACATTCATTTCATATCAGAGAAATTTTCGTGTCCGACTCTGGAATGCTTCATTAGGCGAGCAAATTTATTCATTATTGTTCTTATTGTTAGTATTTTACGATTTCTACATGCACATTAATTAAGTGAATCAATTCTATCATCGTTTAGCTCGTATTGTCAACAATTCCTGGGAAATAAATGATATAAGAAATCGATTCTATAATTGTTTAGCTTGTTATGCGTGCCTCTTTCGATCCCTAAAAATAAATGATTGTGGATTTTGACTGGTGTGCATGAATATGTTGAAAAGAGTATCAATTAGGGATAACATATAATTGCAAACAGATTATTCTTCTTTTGACATGAAGATATCTTGCGATATAGACTCCACGATTAAAGTTGAAGACTTCGTTATTTTCTGTTTGAGTTTATTTCCAATTCAATATGATAACGGATGTTATATAAACTCAAGTATAATCTATTTTGAGGGATCCGAGAGGAAAGATATGAGATAGAGATTGAGAAAAGAGAGAACTTAAAAAGGTTAATTCATTGAGATAACTATTTGTAACTCCGAATAACTCTTTGCAACTCAACTCGTCAATACATTCAATAACATAACAGTAGATATAGATTTTGCATTATAAGCAACCGAACCACTTTAAAGAGCATTTCTTGCTCCTTGATATTTTAAGATTATTACTATACATTTATCATCACATTGCCTTCATCGTTGATCCATCGAGATCATGCACATATCCTACGTGGTTCAAGCATTGTCAATCACGTACTTCTGGTTGTTACGGATTTTTGCATCAACATTTTCCTATGTGGTTCAAGCATTGTCAATCACGTACCTCTGGTTATTACGGATTTTCACCTCAACACTAATAAACTAGAAAATACTTTGAATCCTTGCATGAGCTTAAGAAGAAACACGAAATTGTATTCATAGAAGAAGATTATTATTACTGTTATATATTAAATGTTGTTCCAATCTAATATCGAAATGATTTTAGTATCACACTATTCATTCTAATAAAAAGAATATACCCTAGATCATATGAGCTGCAATTTCACTAGTTTTGTTTGACAGATGTATCAAATGCTCGTAAAACAAGAGACTTGTAACGGAAACATACCATGCAATAGTATATTGTTAGAGTTGGTGAACTCTAGATAGCATTTAGGTACCAATTTTAAAGTGCAATGGAAGTTTTTACCAAGTTGATTAAGGATTATCAAGTTAAGCATGAATCAACATCCATAAACAATAAATGTAAAGTACACTAGCATATACATGGTTGGGATAAAACCACTCTTAGCCTACATTCATGCAACCTCATCCAAATCGAAGCAAATCCACTAAACAACAAACATTACAAGATATAGTTCAAAGTTGATTTTAGCTACAATAAATAAAACTCTCTGTTCTAGTTACACTAAACATTATCCTTTAAATCTCTAACGTCTTGTTGCTCCAAGGATTTCTTCACGTCGAGAACACACCCGAAGAACACTTGAGCTCCACCCAAGCTTCGTACGTCAAAGCCACGCTCCAACATCAACAATGGAACCAAGTTCCAACAACCATTCAATCAAGAATAAGAGATGGTAACGGTTTAGCACATAAACATAAGTTGAACCTTTGAGGAAAAACTCTCTAAAAATTTCAGAGTACAAGTAAAATAAAATATCAAAGGTTAGCTTTACAAATGAGCAAGAATGAAGATGATATAGACCAATTTCATGCTCCTCAATTCTTGCCAAGTCAGCAAACAAGAGCTGACATATATTAGTCCAAAAATGGAAAAGATTTCATCTATCTTTTGGGACCACAACCAAAAAAGGGAAAAAGCTTATTTTCTTAGACCACAAGAGGATATTGGGACACCTGTAGGTGGTCCTCATGACAGCACAACAGATGCAAAGAAAATATATCAATTGATAAAGATAAAAACACAACTTGTGCAAAGTGAGTCAGACGTGCTATGTTAGCACAACAAAAAAGTGTATGTACACACCATGTAAAATGCGAAATGAAATGCAACATACATATGTCTGACATAAGTGTGCAAACACACATCCACTGTAAACACACATAAAATGAAAATGCAAAAGGCATAAAAAAAACAATTCTAACTTTTTGTTGGACCACAAACACATTTTTTCCCTTTCTTGTGGGACCACAGACAAAACCTTACAATCTTTTAAAATCACATAAGGAAATTGTGACACATGTAAAGTTAGCTCTCACAAGAATATTATAAATCAAAATAAACTTGATGGGCAAAACATTCAAAGAGAAAATACCACTTGATAAAATAGGCCTCGATAACATAAGTTTGTCAAAAATATCAACATGTATATTAAATGTTGTCAAATTTATATTAAAAGCGCTCTATATATATACTCAAATTGAATGCCAAAATTTTTGTTTTCAAGGTTGACACATGATTTGTTATATGTGATTTGTAAAAATGTGTAATATTTTTTTATCTTTCACAATTGAAAATGTTAATTTATTTTATATCAATCCAAACTGTGACAGATGCAAGCTGGTAGTGCAAGCTGCAGCAACTCTGTTCTCTCAAGTTCATATTCAAAGTATTTTAAAGACTACTCAACGGCTAGATTAACGGCAAAGTGTTTGTTTTTAAAAATCTTCATTGTTCAACGGCGAGATTAACGGTACAAACGACATTTTCCGTTAAGTGGCGTTAACTCTCATTAGTGGAACGGTACTGTTTTCTTTATATAGTGGAAGTAGAAAAAATTCAACAAATCTATATCAAGTTACAATGTTTTAACTCTTTCTGCTAACTGTTCTTACTTAGAAAAAGCACAAATCTTACGGTGTAAAAATTGTTGTTCTGTGTTTGTTGTGTAAATGTTGAATGGTCGAGATTTTGGTAAAACACATGAATTACCACCTCAGATCATTTTGTAACTATATAAGTATTCTATAAAATCATTTTATGTAGTTAAATGGAAAACAAAAGTTCAATTCTCTCTATCTCAAATTTTCTGTTTGTTTCTTTGGAAAGTTCTACACTTTCTGGTTTTTCTTCATTCGGTCCTAGGATTGTCACACAAACATATACAGTTTAGACAGAATTTTGCATATCTAATATGAGGATAAATGGTATCAAGCATGACTGTGCTGAGAGACATATTAAATGTTTGTAAATTGTAAGGAAAACATACCATTGAACTATGATCTTTAAACAGATTCTGATCAATAAATGCAATTTTT